CGCTTGGGTAGGGGAGGCCGTGTAGCGGTTGCGGTCTGATGAGGACTCGTCGTATTTCGACTCTCTCGGCGTGGTAAAGGATCGCCCGATTCTTCCATGCTTTGTTAAAGATTGTCAGAGGAATCGGTCCTCTCATCATTTTGATGTTTTTGTGAAAGTATGGGGTGAAACCCATTCTCGTCGTGCTTGGGGATGGCGCCGGTGGCGAATTGAACGTCTCCTGCCATCGAATCTTCGTCAGATGATTGTTGGGAGTCGGCGATGACGTTGTCTGAGGTCCGCTTTCCTCTTGGGATTTTGCTCTTGGCTTTCGCGGTCAGAAGCGACTTGTACATCTCGTAATATCGGTCTGAGGCGGGCATGTCACCGGCTTTGGTCGCTGCGAGGCATTTTTCGATCAGTGAGGCGATTGCCTCATCTTCTTGGAACGATGCTGAATCTGTTATCGTAGGGTTACCCCGTGGGGGGGAAGCATGACTCGTATCAGTATGTTGATACTTGGCACTGCCTTGGGGTAGGAAAGAGTAGGAGTAGGTAGGAGTCAATAAGTTCTGACATACCGTTTAGAAGATTTTTAGGTGCTTTTATTACGCGAACCTCGTCATCTGTAACGCTGGTGGTGTCTAGAGGGTAAAGAGAGGGATCAGGCGTCAGGGCCTCGATTCTAGCAAAAAACACTTTTTTTTTTTTTTTTTTTTTTTTTTTTTTTTTTGGGAGGGGGTATCATGAACCGTTATTGGTACCGAGACGTCTAGCAAGCTCCAAAGCTGCCGTCTTTCCAGCTTGCTGGGTTTCCGATTCCGTTCCCGCATGATTTGGGTTGACGTTATCTGAGGGTAGGCCTCTTTTGTTGGGATTGCCGCTAGGGTTTCCCTCAGCTGAACGCTGTGGTGGTGGGTCTTGGGAGTTGCTCGTTAGAGTTGATGTTGAGTTCGACGACTGAGCTGGATCGCTGACAGTCTCGTTGCTCTGAGCGGTTGTGAGCGGGGTGATGGGGGAATTGATCTCGTTAGACATGTTAATCAAGTCGTTTGACATAGAGGGAGTAGAGGGAGGTGAATGAAGAAGAACGAAAATTTTTGAGTGATATGAGAAAGGGTTTATTAGGGGGTGTTTTTAAACGTAAGGGGATGTTGTCGGTAGGAGGGAGTCTTCGTCTAGTTGCTAGTGACGGAGTACGGTCGAGGGATTTTTGGAGAGGTCGTTTCCTTAAGAGAGCGAGGAGGTCCGAACCGCGACAGGAGGAGTTATCCCGATCGGACCTAGTTCGAGTCGGGTCTGTCGAGCTAATCCCTTTTGGGGATTAGTGGCCTTGGCGTATTGAGGAGGCGTAGTAACTAGCGTTAAGTCCGCCGAGTCCCCCGGCCAGCCACCTCTCCTTTACGGACCCCGTAACCTCCCGCTGCGCTCCGGTAATCTACAAACCTCAGATCTTTGAGACCGCACCATTAAAAAATTGTTGTTTGATTCCATTGAAGAACATTTCGATCGCTCCAAACATCCTTCCATCAGGCATTCCAAGCGTTCTGAATAACTCATACCGTCACCGCTTGTGGCTATGGCGTACGTTTAACATACGAATCTTATAATCGGTTGAGAAGGTCAGATTCTCTTTTTGTAACTCTTTCCTCTCTTCTACAATCATTCAGGATTGAAGATGCCAATAAAAATTGTATGATGAAATTTTTTATACCTTTAAATCCCAAGTCGTCCATGATGATGGGCGCAATTGAATCGGGTATCCATCATTCGGTCATTCTCTGTTTCTAATAGCCTTAGAGAGAGTCAGATTGTCTGTTGGTTGACCCGCTTTGTGATTCACTCGTGCAGGGGTTCTGACATTTTCGTTTTTTTTTCTTATATTTTTTTAACGTTCAGATGAATCATGATCCACGTTGGAATCAAAGAAAAAAACTCTTACTGATTCGTGTTTTTCTTTTCGCCCTTCTCTGTCTCGTTTGTTTCATATTTTGCATCGTTTTTTTTCCCTTCTTTTTTTCCTTTTTGGAACAGTGACGCGAACGAAAATGAATGACCGTCGAACGACCGTCGAATGTCCATCAGATAGCATCAGATCGGTAGACGTGGGATTTGTCATGTTTTATCATGTGAGGTCATGCACCGTTTTTCACGGCTTCTCGTTCCGGCTTTCCTTTTCCCGATAAAAAAATTTTTTTCATGTTCAGCTGTACTCCGCACCATTGGCACAACACTCCATTGAAAGCACATACATCAAGATTGAAGATTGAAGCGAAAGATTTCGGAAGAAGAATGAAATGGACAACTTGAAAAAAGACAAGAATTGACCTGATAGGCCAACGATGATCCGTTCATAAGCGTTTGCAAGCAATCAGATGAAGGTCCAACTCTGATCTGAAGACAGCAAAGAATTAGTTCGAAAAGGCAATCCTCGCCTCCGCGGACCACCAGCTCCGCCCCCATCGCTAGGATGGACGGATGTTCCACTCGGGTGC